AAAGGAGCGTCTACATTGGCAGGCTGCTTTTCCGGAAAAGCCCTTTTTCCGGAAAAGCGTCTGTGGCCAATGTAGATGCGCTTTTCCGGAAAAGAGCCTTGATCGCCATGTTTGCGATCGGGGCTTTTTTCAGGAAAAGACTACTGGGCTGTCTACACTGGCCCTTTTCCGGAACAGTGTTCCGGAATAAGGACTTATGCCCGAGCGGGAGCAGAATAGTTTTTCCGGAATAGCGGCTGATTTTGTACAGTAGAGCATCGTTGCTTTTCTGGAAATTCAAGGGCCAGTGTAGACAGCTCGCAGCTTATTCCGGAAAAGCGGCTGATTTTCCAGAATAAGTGGCACAGTGTAGACACAGCCTTAGAGAGCGGGAGAGAGGGAGAGAGAGAGAGAATGAGTTTGTTCTACAGGCTTAGCTGGGAGCCAGCTACCTTCATAGCTTGTGTAATAGAGGCTCGTGGCCTGAATTCCAGAGATGCTAGGTTCAGTTCTATGCATTGATGTTCTATTAGCTGGTTGATGCTGTTGCAAAAAAATCCCAACATGGATCTGGGTTGCATTAACAGCAGTGTGGTGAGCAAGACATGAGAATGTATTCTTCTGCTCTACTCTGTGCTGATTAGGCCTCAGCTGGAGTATTCTTTCCAGTCCTGGGTGCCACATTTCAAGAAACATGTTGGAGAAGGTCCAGAGAAGAGCAACAAAAATCTTGACTGATCTAGATAACATGAGCTGAGGGAAGACTGAAAGAATTGGGCTTGTTGAGTTTGGAAAAGAGAAGACTGAGAGGGGACATGAGAGTGGTTTTCAGGTATCAAAAAGAGAGTTACAAGGAGGGGGAAATATTGTTCTTTTTGACCTCCGATGATAGGAGAAGAAGCCATCAAGTTAAATTGCAGCAAGGAAGGTTTAGGTTGGACATTAGGAAAAACTTCCTAACTGTCAGGATGATTAAACACTGGAATAAATTGCCTAGGGAGGTTGTGGAATCTCCATCTCTGGAGATTTTTAAGGACAGGTTGGATAGACATCTGTCAGGGATCGCGTAGACAGTGCTTGGTCCTGTCACAAGGGCAGGGGACTGGAGTTGATGACCTCTCGTGGTCCCTTCCAGTACTAGTATGCTATGATTCTATGATTCAATGAAAAAAATACACAAATTTCCCTTCCATTTTCTGACCATCTCTTTGTCATTGCATTGAGCAATGAGGTGAGTTTTGGATGGATTGTGCTTGGATCTTAGGTCAGGTAGGGGGCACTAGACCCGGGGCCTGCGGAAAGCCCTCTGTGATCATGTCAGAACTCAACTCAACCCAACTTCCTGTTCCTGTTTACCCTTCCTGATGCATTGAACATGTGCACTCTGTTGACATGTTAGGCCTCAGTTGGAATATTGTGTCCAGTTCTGGGCACCGCATTTCAAGAAAGATGTGAAGAAATTGGAGAGGGTCCTGAGAAGAGCAACAAGAATGATGAAAGGTCTAGAGAACATGAGCTATGAGGGAAGGCTGAAAGAATTGGGTTTGTTTAGTTTAGAAAAGAGAAGATTGAGGGGGGACATGATAGCCGTTTTCAGGTATCTAAAAGGGTGTCATAAGGTGGAGGGAGAAAACTTGTTCATCTTGGCCTCTGAGGATAGAACTAGAAGCAATGGGCTTAAACTTCAGCAAGGGAGGTTTAGGTTGGACATTAGGAAAAAGTTCCTAACTGTCAGGGTGGTCAAACACTGGAATAAATTGCCCAGGGAGGTTGTGGAATCTCCATCTCTAGAGACATTTAAGAGTACGTTAGATAAATGTCTATCAGGGTTGGTCTAGACAGTATTTGGTTCTGCCATGGGAGCAGGGGACTGGACTCGATGACCTCTCGAGGTCCCTTCCAGTCCTAGTGTTCTATGATTCTATGACAGATTTCCGAGAAGTAGGTTCCGGATCCAGCTTTTGGTGTCAAGATACTACGACTGGGAGTATCTCTGGGGGCAAGGGCACATCTAGGAAGGAAGCGTGGCAGAGATGAGATTCTTCCCGGGGGCTGTAGCTCAATAAAGATGCATCTACACGGCACCATTATTTCGAGCTAACAACGCGAATGTCTACGCAGCCATTCCGTTATTGCGAAATAATTTCAAAATAATGGACGGCTTATTCCAAAATCTGTAAAGCTCATTTTACCAGGAATAACACCTCTTCCAAAAGAGCTATTTCAAAATAAGGCATGTGTTGACGCTCCACTGCTTCTGTTTCGAAATACTCCCTCCCCTGGGCCATTCTAAATTATTCCTCCCCAGTGCCTCCTGGGACTCTAAATCGAGATAGCATGTCTATATTAGTGAACCTGACCTCAGACTCATTTTGAAGCTTCCCTGCAGTGTAGACATGCTATTTTGAAATAAGCTATTTCGGAATCACTATTCCGGAATAGCTGATTCCGAAATAAGCGTGCAGTGTGGACGTACCCTGAAAGAGCTGGCAGCAGTATGTGAAATATCCTCTTTGCAGTTAAGGGATGGAGTGGCCCATTCATGAGAGGGTCCAAGGAAGCAGTGAGGAAAGATGGACACTTCTATGCTCTGAATTTCAATGGACCTATTGGGGGATATTGGGCCGGCCTCTTCCTCACTCTGTGTCTCAGTTTTACCAGCTGTCCAATGGAGCTCAAGATGCTGACTCACCTTTGTAAAGCACTGTGCAGTCTGTAAAGACAGCCAGGGTGGGAGTGTGATCGCAAGGGCTGTGTCTAGACTGGCCAGTTTTTCCGCAAAAGCCAGCTGTCTACATTGCCCACTTGAATTTCTGCAAGAACACTGACGATTGTGGCCAGACAGCCCGCCTCCATCACATCCATCTTATTTGCCTTCCTGAAGCATACAGGACAGAGAAGGAGCAATAAAATCAGCATAGTCTATGCTGGCTCATCTGATCCTGAGAAGCTGAAACATAGATATGAGGAGAGATCAGGATATGCGAGACTGCCACCGGCTGGCACCTATGTTGATTCGAACACACACACAGTCCCTGGAAGAGGAATTTCCCACTGAGAAAACAATGTCCCGTACTTCCAATTTAATCATTCCGAAAATGCTTTTAACGGAAAACTTTTCCGTTAAAAGCATTTGCGGAAAATCATGCCAGTCTAGACGTAGCCAAGGTGTAATATTTCTAAGGCCCTGGCTTGTTGTGGAAGGGCTCCTGTGACCGGTGCAAGCTGCAAAGAGGATCCCAAGGAGCACAGCAGGCAGCCACAGAGGTGAGGAGAGAACTATTCAGGACAGGAGTATGTGTAGTCACAGCCAGGAACTGTGCAGCTGGGAACATATTCCTCTTTGTCCTCCGGCTCTGAGTGGTACATGAAAACTAGCCCTTTGGTTTCAGCTAATAACAACGTTCACCGATGAAGGGTTAACTGATGAAGGCGATGAAGGATTAACTGAAGCTGGAGAGCTCAGTTAAGGCACCTGGGGAGTGGGCCAGGCCCAATTCATGATGGAGCCCAGCTGGGGGAGTAGCTGCGTGGTCAACATAAAGGGAGAAACCTGATAGAGAAGGGGGTAGGAGGGATAGAGTAGGCTGGGGAGCTGATTTTCATAGAATCATAGAATCATAGGACTGGAAGGGACCTCGAGAGGTCATCGAGTCCAGCCCCCCGCCCTCAAGGCAGGACCAAGCTCCGTCTGGTCAGGAGGAAGATCAGATGCAAACTCAGGAAATGGTGGATTCTCTGGAACCACAAAAATGGTCAGCAAATTGGGGGGAAAAAAACATATGGGGAAAATAACACAAATAGTAAAAATTGCAAGGTAAGGCCTTGAAGATAGGGAATACCAACCAAAGTTCCCTCTAATCTTTTCCATCCATGCGCGGAATAAATTTTGTGTGTCCTGTGGCGTGTGTGGATGTGCACCACCCATAGAAACAAAAAACCTAGCTATGGCTTCTCTGCTAATCAGTTGGGTGGCATTTGGATCCTCTCCTAAGATGTGGCACAAGTACCCAGCTTGCAGGGAACTGAAACACTAGTCCTCTGAGGATTTTTGAGGGAACCAAAAAAAAAGTGTTGAAGATACAGTTAGAGCTAAGAAACTACCAGGATGGGATTGTTAGCAGAATATTAAAAGCAAAGAAGAAGTAGGGAAGCTACTTAAGACAGGAGGTGAAAATAAAATTAAAATAAGCTGCCAGCGACCCAGATGACTGGTTAAATAGCAGTTAAGCAGAAAATGATCTGGGGATTACAGTGGATGAGAAGCTGGATATGAGTCAACAGTTTGCCCTTGTAGTCAAGAAGGCCAATGTCATTTTGGAGAACATTAGGAGGAGCATTTCCAGCAGATCTAGAGAAGTTATTACTCTCCTTTATTCAGCACTGCTGAGGCCACATTTGGATTATTGCATCCAGTTCTGCCCCTCCCCGCTCATTAAAGAAAGGATGCGGATGCATTGAAGAGGGTCCAGTGGACGGCAACCAAAATGATGAGGGGGCTGGAGCAAGTGACCTATGAGGAGAGACTGAGGGATTTGGGCTTATTTAGTTTTCAGAAGCGAAGAGTGAGGGGGGACTTGATAGCAGCCTTCAACTTCCTGAAGGGAGGTTCCAAAGAGGCTGGAGAGAGGCTGTTCTCAGTGCGGGCAGATGGCAGAACAAGGAGCAATGGGCTCAAGTTGTGGTGAGAGAGGTCCAGGTTGGATCTG